GTTTAGTAACAGAAGTAAATGAACCAAGATAACTAGATTTTAAATAAAAATTGTCATTTACAAATATCTCGTTATTCTCTTTCATTTTTGAAATTCTGGTGACAAAAAAGAAAAAGAAAAATGATGTTTGAAATGAAGAAAAGAGAAAAAGCAAATAACCAAACAAAATAACAAGTGACAAAATTATTTCTGCTGAAAGAACTTCAAAAACTGAAGGAAATTCAAATGAAAAAAAATAGATTATTTGTATTACTGAAGCTGGTCTTTTTCTATCTGCAAAACATTAATGAACACAGTTGAATTTTGAGAGTAGTCTTTATTTACTGAAATTAGTCCTTTATATACTCTTTACTGAAATTACTTTTGCTCGGTTTTTGAAATTTCTAGGATTTTTTTTTTCTTTCTTAACCTGAAGAACTGGAGAAATTTCATTTTTACCAGTCGAACTGATTCTATTTTTTCAGTTTTTCCATCAAAATTCAGTACCTTTGACTTCTGAGATACATTCTGGTTCCTTTCTGGACATTCTGCCGCCTTTTCAGGTTGCGCTCTGTGATCTCTCTTGGATGGTTGTTTGATTCTCTTTTTTTCTTTCTGGGCTCTTATTAGTAGACTGTATTCTCTTATAGAACTGTTCTTACTTACTAAAAGAACATATTCCTCCTTGCTGCCTTTTCTTCTATATGTGCTGCTATACTGAGGAGTGTGTTTGCTTAGAGCCTTTGCTCTAATAAGGTATTTGACAGTGAGACACTGAATGTCATCTTCTTGGTATGGACAAGGGTGGATGATTTAAACTATGGAAGACTTAGATTAGATGTCAGAGCAGAGTGGTGAGAGAGTGACAAGATGCTGGAACAGGCTGCCCAGAGAGTCTGTGGATGCCCCATCCCTGGAGGTGTTCAAAGCCAGGTTGGATTGGGCCTGGGCAGTCTGATCTTGTATTTGATCTAGCAATTGGCAACGTGCTTGTTGCAGGGAGGTTGGAGCTTAATGATCTTTGACATCCCTTCCAACCCAAGGCATTATGTGATTCTATTATTCTATTCTGTGTTGAGAGACAAAGCAACATGTAAAGTTATCAGCTCTTTTTTCCTTACAGAAACTTATGCTGTGTGTGTATTCTTTAGGCAATTTATCACTATAGAAAGAGAAGCTCAAAGGCAACATTGTGCCTTACAAATCAGCAGCCTGAACTTCTGAATTTCATAGAAATTACTTTGTGAGGGATCGTGGCCACTGTCAACAGACTTTTCACAGTCTGGCCTACTAAATTTCCTCCAAACCTAATGCCCAATAACTGGGCTAAGATACAGCTCTGCACATGGATAGCTGCATGTGATGAAGCCAAAGCTGGAATAAAACTTCTCTTCCATCTGTCTTCTCTAAAGACTCTTCAGAAAAGAAAAATAAAAATCTAGTAGTATAAAGCTTATTTTGCTCTCTTATTTAAGAACTGGATCACTTATTCAGAATTTCCAGATGTTATTGTTCTGGCAGTGCTTCAACTGTGCTCAGCTACCAGAATTCCTTGGGTTTCTTCTTGAAAGACTTCTGTCTCCAAAACAATGTTTTCCATGCTAATAGCCTGGAAGATGGTCAAAGATTTTCCTAGCAGTGCTAGTAAAAGAATGCAGAGTATTTAGAAGTCCATCTGAGACTATTTGCTGCTTTGACATTCTCCATGAATGGATTTTCTTTATCCAAACGGGAAGTCAACTTTAAAAACTTTGGAGGGTAGTGTTGTCTTTGATTAGACTATTGTGGCCTTTTTGCTGTTTTCGAATGAATATGCTAAACTTTCATTATTCTCAGTGGGAGGGATTCATTTGTGCAAAAAGGAACGTTGACTCCCAGCAATCTTCTAAACATCTTTTTGGCTCATGTTTTAGAAGATTGTCTACTCTAAGTTATTTGTTGGTTTGGTTTTTGTTTGTGTGTTTTTTAGACTGTTTATTAAAAGTAGTTGACTGAGAAGGTGGGAGAACAAAGGAAGCTATGAGCTATTAACCTAACCATTTAATAGTCTCCCAGAAACCAAGTCATTCATGATAACATGTTGAGAGAAAGGACAGGAACACAAGTCACAGTACTTGAAAAGTCAAGATCCACAGCTGTATTTCCATTATGTCTTCCATTTTCTCTGCTGATGTGAATTTTAATTATTAAGTTTGATTTGCATATTTTCCCATAGGTTATTTGTATGTTGAATATAGGATGGGTGAAGTGAAATGTAGTATTTTTATTAACCCTTTAAAATCCCTTTGGTTTTGTATGTACTTTTTTATTTTTAAAGATTTTTTTTCTTCTTCAGGAAAATGTAGGCACTTATTTCAGAGCTTTTTCATTTGCTATTGATTGTTTTTTCTTTGTCTCAATTAGTATATTCTCTTTATTGAGGTAGGGAAAAGTGAGATATTAGTACAGATTTCTGTAAGATTACTTATATGTCTTTCTGTGCTGTTGGTTTTTTCCTTTGTTTTGGCCAAAGGGTGTTATACATGGCCTTGCTATACTAGTACTCCTGGGTATAAGATCTGCTTTTATTTGTAGGATGGCAAAAGGGAGGGATAAGTGATTTTTTTTTTTTTAATTTTCTTTGAAGGGACCTCTCTGCCTTTTGTACATCCCACATCTTTTCCTTCATTTCTGCTTTTTACCATCCCAACTTTATCCCCTCATTGTCAAGCTGAAGAAGAATTGGGCTGACTAATCTTAAAGGTAAACTGCTGTCACAAATCCTTCAGGTTTTTTAATTCCGTGTAGTACAAACGGCATTGCTTTTTCTTTTTTCCCTCTTACATCCCTGAAGGCAAAGGGCAGATAGTAAATAAAAAATTTAATTTCCTTCCATCTCTCCCTTTTTCTTTTGTATTTGCAAGTAAGTTAAGGAAAAAAAAATAATTGTTCAAAAATATGATAAATAAAACTTAAATTTCTGTAGCCTGACTTTTTTTTTGTTTTAGTTTACTGTCCTTTACTGCTAAGACAAGTCCAGCGCTATCAAAATTTCTGAAAAACATTTTCAAGCTGTCAATATACCTTAGGAAGTATGTGCATGGAGTATTATATTACATATAAATGAAAGGACTGGAGGGAATGGCCTCAAGTTGTGCCAGGGTGATTCAGATTGAACGTTAGGGAAAATTAATTCTCCAAAGGAGTGATCATGTGCTTGAATGAGCTGCCCAATGAGGTGGTTGAGTCAGCATCCCTGGAGGTGTTCAAGAAACATTTAGATGTACTAAGGGAAATGGTTTAATGGGGAAATATTGGTGGTAGGTGGATGGTTGGATTGGATGATCTTGGAAGTCTTTTCCATCCCTTATGATTCTGTGATTCTGTGATTCTACTTCTCTTTATTTGGACATATTTAATGACCAGATAATTATTTATGTGATGAATCTGTAAAATGAATTGTGAAATATGGTGTAATAATACTATTTTTTCAAGGAATCTTTTATCCCCTAACACCTTGTTACAGTACAATATTTTAAAACTCATTTCAGGTATTACAATAAAAGTCCTGAGAGATTACTTGACTTAGCTTTTATTTCTACTTAGAAATTTCATTTCATCGATACCTTAGAATGAAGAGTCATACATTTTTTTAATGCCAGTGAAGTTGAAGGAAGAACTGTTAAAACTTTCTCTATTGAAAGGTGGCTTTTCCTCTTTCATTGAACCCTTCTTGGTAGAGGAGAACCAAATTTTTTGCTTTTTAAGATTAAAAAAACAAGCAAGTTTTTTTTTTTTTTTTTTTTTTTTTTTTTTTTTTTTTTTTTGGTACCAATAATGTATCTTACTAAAAAGTATTTTAATTTCAGATTTGTCTTGGAATACTTAGATGTATTTGTAATAGTAATACATAGAGTTCTTATTTTCATTTCTTTAACTTACAATAAAAGGATTTTCTGCTGAATTCTTTTTTCCTTTTGAAGTTTATGTGTATTTGCAGAATGCTAAATTAATCTACACTTTTTAATTAAAAATTTTATCATCTGCAATTAAAAAATTTAAGTTCTGTACTGTGACGTTGCTTGGCTGTGATATTTGCATATTTCTCTTTGTTTGTTGTGTCTCCCACTTTTATTGACTCATTGCTGCTTATCCCACTAGTATGCCCAATGTTTGGGGCAAGGACTGTTAAATGTAAACTGAGTGCACATCTTAAGTCTTTGACTTTTAAACATTTATGATAAATATAAAATAGAGAATCTGGAAACAAATGCGATTACTGTTTAACACATTTTATGTCCTCCAGTTCTTTAAGATATTTTCTTAATTCAGGAAATGTTATTTGCAGGTAGAAAATGTTTTTGAAATGATCCAATCAACTAACCACAATATTTAAATATTTACTCTTCTGCAGATAAAGGAAGCACTATGGAAAAAAAAACAAAAAAAAAAAAAAACCTGCAATTATTTTCATTTGGCTTAGATGTAATGATTCTCCATGATATCTTCCTCTCTTTAATTATTCCTTACACAAAATTGGCTGTAATACAGTTTCCTAATGAGAGGACAGTTTCTTCTGACTAGGTACAGTTACTGCTTATTAGCATTTCATCAATTTCAGTTTTTCACAGAATAAAAGGAGAAGCATATGTTTTCAAATTAAAGAATTTAGCAATTTTTAAACAATCTGGTAAAATACTCAACTAAAGTTTTGATGTTGTACTATATGACCTTTTTTGCTTCTCTGCTGGACAAGCAGAGTTCAGGTAGTTGTAACATCAAAAAAAACCACCCCAAAACACAATAACAACAACAAAAAGCCACCCTCCCTACTCTCCCTCTTGCCAAAAGTACGTTATGTTGATAAATGTTCTTGGTCACTGTATTAATAAAAGATGATTCTAAAATATGAATATATTGAGACTGAAACTAAAATATGAATATACTGATTCTACAGCTTTTCATTTTCCCTTTCCTTATTCTTCCCACTTTATGTATGAATTTTTTATTGATGGGGTTTTCTTACTTTTCTTTGGTTTCAGATGCGAGTGTCTCTCTGGTTTATGTGGTTTCCCCATGTGCGAGGCAGGCTCCGTTCCTCAAATAGTCTCACGTGGAGATGGAACACCTGGCAAGTGCTGTGATGTCTTTGAGTGTGTCAATGGTACGTGAAGTTTTCTCTTGTACCTGTAGAGGGGGATTTTGTCTGTGGGAGAATCTGGATATATGGTTATTCATACCATATTGTCAAGATTTGAGAGACATAATTTTCTTTGAGTTCATTCAGTAAGAAGTAACAGGAAGTTGAACTTAAGATATATAATGGGAAAATGTCATTTGTAAGTTGTGTCATGTTTCTTTAATTCCTAAAGCATTTTTTTTCTCTGTAAACCCAAGGAGTTGTAATTTTAGTGAAAAGCTCCCTCACTGTGTGTTTTCCAGATGCTTTTTTTGCCAGTTACAAGCACTAGAGTCCTTTTAAAAAGTGTTGGTTTGTTTTTTTTTTTCACTGAGCATTGAATCAGCTTTTTGCACTGTTGTAAGGAAGAGCTGTTTGGACTGTTGGGCTCCATTTAAAAAAAAGCACTCTAAATAAACACAGTAAGTTTTAGCACAAGTGTAAAACCCTTGGAAATTGCAATTCAGTATAGGAATAGACTGATTCTCTTTTTTTTTTTTGCCTTTCAGATGGAAATATTTAGCAAAAATTATTTAAAAAACTTAAATTTGTTAAGCACATTTGTTATTTTTGATTTGTTATGCAAATCTCAGGATTGCTCAGTGGTGTGTATAGTCTGTTGGAAGAGACAGGTATTCAGCTGCTGGAGAAAAAGATTCTTGAAAGCCTGCATGCTCAGATAATTTCTGAGCATAAAAAAATTACATGTTGATTAAATATTTACTTATTATTTATTTTATGTACTTAAATATTTATTAAGCGTTATTTAACAATGTTCCATTGTGTATGTATCACATTCTTAAAACTATTTTTGCATTCTTTACTGCATATGCACATAAATGTGTAAATACCTAATGTAGACACTCCCCTAGGAGAATGTTTGTGATGTTTACACATAAAAATATTCTAAATACTCACATGATGGTTTGAAAATAACCTGCACTGCTTTATAGTTTTGGATTTTGCAAGTGTGTTTTAGAATGGTCAAGTTCATCATGAGTCAGGGACAAATAATGCAAGACACACCTCTCAGACAGTGATGTCCTAGAAGATGGACACTGACAATAACTTACTGGATAAATGTCTAGTATTGCAAAAAAAAAAAAAGATTGTTTTATATATATAATTTATGAAAGTATAAACTTAATATGTATGTATCAGATAAAATAGTTACCCTTTTGTTAATTTGAAAGGAAAAGGAGGTGGAATGTTGCTTATGAGTCTGAAAGTTGAACACTAATATATGGTTCTGGCTTTTAGAAGGATCTTGAAATAGTAGTAAGTACAGAATAGATGCCTTAGATATCAATGACAGATGGAGAAAATATATTACAATGATAGACTTAGATCAATTTCTTCATTAAAAAAAAAAATGCCATGGGCATAACGAGAGCCAAATCAGTGAGTGCTAGCACACTCTGTTCTCAGTGGTGAGGGTGGCTGACTGTTGGCACAAACTGTTAGGAAGATGCTGAATTCCTTATTTTCTTGCTTCCCAACTATGATTAATTGTCATTTTGAAAGGCATGTTTTTATCAAATGCAAGTTAATGGAATTATAGATGATAAGTGGACTAATTATGAACTAGTTCAATTAATTCTTGGATTTGAAAACCTCTGAAATCAAGCAAGAGGGTGTAGTAACAAGGACATGCTCACAGTGACATTCATACCATTTTCCTGTTGTTATAATATCTACTTAATGATATAGTTAGGAGAATAGAAATCTGTTAGGATCATCGGTACTGATCCTGTGAATTACCTTGACATGAAGGAATAACTTCACGTAGTCTGCAAATTAAACAGCAAAAACACCAGTTAGTGTATGTACTGTGGTGTAACTACATCATGTTATTGATGTACAGTGTTAAAGCATACCAGCCTTCTGTACTTCGTATGTGTGGATGGGTTAGGGTGGTGGAGAGAGGGGAGGCTGACTGGTAAGGGTGGGGAAGAAGTGGTTGTCTCCAAGCAGAACTGACTGGTGTTGAGGGGTGGAATAAGGGCAGCAAAATACAAAGACTCTGTTAGCATCATATTGTCTTTGCTTTGGGGTCAGGTCAGTCTTTTTTGACAAAAGCTTTTCCTGTATTTAATATTGAGCTGTTTTAGAAGTTCTACAACAGATCTGTAGGTCTTGTGTGGTTCTCTTTGTGACGAGTGCATGCTGTCTCAAACTAGCACTGGGTCGATCCATCAGAAAAACATGTTTATCTGCACTGAGAGACACCTCAGTAGCAGTTATTCTTGCATGTTATGTAGCTGTTGTAGTTATTCCTGTCACATTATAAGTACAGCAGTAAGTCATTACATTCATTGTTGCTTTTATGCTTCAGATTTACTTAGGTTGCTCCAAAGTAATGCCTCCTATTTATTTCCATGGAAACTACAACAGATATGAAGAGCACAATAATACTAGTTGATAGAGCAAATTCTTAGCTACAAAATACCATTTCTCAATAAAGTCACCATCATTAGCTATGCATTTTCACCAGTAATGAACAAGAGCTTGCATGCCGTGCTCATAAAAATCTGCACCAGCAGATCTTTATCTGACCCACTGTTACCACTGCTGAAGCACACCACCCCCACCTCACTGTGTTCACATCCACAATTTGGTCTCCATAAATGTTCAGCAAGTGTCAAAGTGTGTCATTGGTGGAATTTTTTCTACATAGAGGAACTCAGTGACACCCTTTAACTTCATATGCACTTCCATGTCAGACAGCATTCTGTCAGACTGCCCTTCTGCTGTCATCTGTCACACAGCCACAACATGTAATGGAATATTGTTGAGAACATTCAACCTCTACTGCCATCCCACCAACATCTGCTTCTGACGTTGTGGGCCAACATCATAACATAGAAGGCATTACTTTCAGAGCAGCCCTGGTATATTGGTGTGCCTTCATGTTCCTCATCCTATGTAATCTCCTGTTTCTTATAGTCTGACACATAATTATGTAATTATTATTTCTAACCAAAACAGTATTATTCCTGCTTGGAAACAGTTCTGATGATACAATTTAATGAAACTAGATTTTATTATTGTTACATTGTATCTACAGCCTTTGGCTGTTCATTTAGAAATTTAGAATTAGTACTTAGAAAGTGTTTTGAACAACTTTCTTGTTGATGACGTGCACAAAATATGCTTCAGAGAGATGCTCTGTATATTTCTTTCTGAGATTTTAATTGACGTCAATATAAGCAGAGATCAGAAGATTTTACATAAAGATTTGACTGGACACATCTTTTCTACTTTTTTTCTACCACTGCTGTGGTTAGAATAATTTACCATTACAGTTAATGAACAGGTATTCAAATCTTTTCTTCTAGGTGGTACTAGATAGCAAGTTATAATTTGGGAAGAAAATTGAGCAAGAGATTCCCCACATTTTACTGAAGTGAATTTGAGGTTTCTCCAGATCCACTTAACTTTTATTACTCATTTATTTTTGTCTGCTAACAGTGGTGCACTGCCTTCTCTCATGGGAAAGGATGTAAGGAAAAAAATGATTCAGCGTTCAATTACAAGCATCAACAAATGAATCTAAATAGATTGAAGGCTACATCTGCAGCAAGAGTGGAAGTGTTTGGAAACAAGAGAGCATCCAAAATGCCTGTTCTCTAATTAGGTATTGACGCATGGCTCTCTTGAATGTAGGTTGTGCTGTAGCACATACTGGCTGGGAGCTATGCCTTTAGAAATTTGAGAGAGCAAATTACTAAGCATCCTGCAGCTGCTTTCTTCTGTCAGTCAGGGCTTCCACTTTTGAATAAGCTTCCTTGAATGCAGCAGCTACTTGAAAAGGGTCTCTGATGGCTTTATGAAAGACACTGGGTTGTCTGTGTGAGAGTGGGCCTAGTTACTGTGTCCAGGAGCTCCAGGGTGGATGGGAGCAGGCTGTTTTCTTCCCCAGCCTTGCCAAGAGTGGCTGTGAAGCCCTGTGGCTCCTCCATCACCCCTGGAGGTGAAGGCCAGTCTTCTGTTGCCCTTCCCCTTGAGAATGGGAGTACCTAGTGCATGACCCAAAATAACAAGCTGACAGTGATGACAACTGCCACAGGGAAGCTGTGACCCCTTCTGTATTGCTTTTACAGGCTTTACTCATGATAATATGGAAGTGAGCTCCTAAATCATCAAGCTCATTTACTCGATGTGACATATAACCTATGCTTTATGATGGCAGCCGTAAATTTTTTCCAAATTTGAGAAGATATCACTGATGTATTCAAGCCATTCCTCTTTTATTCTGTACCTCCTGGCTTCCTTCACACTTGTGGCTCTATAAAGGAGGTACTGCATTGGAGGAGAGCTTAACTAATCACACCTCTTGTCACCTTTTGATGCAATTACTCCTCACAGGCTTTATTATTCTGTTATTAAGCTCATAGTGTGGAAAAGGTTAAAGGTAATGCCATTACTTCTAAAGGGAAATATGAATCACCTTCTTTTAAAGGGTGCATCAATGAGTGCTAAAAGCATTTGACAGGGAGAATATGGTGCCAGCCAGAAACATTTTCACTAAAACAAATAGACGGATCCAAGTGGAACATCCCTCAGGCATCAGTTTGTTGTAGGATCCCATTATTCATTATACTAAGCCTCACAAAATGTATGTGACAGAGGAAAATATTATTTTCCTTATACACAAAGAAATAAAGATTTGACCAAGACAGTAGAGTCTGTCCTAGAGCAGAGAACTGAATATAATCCTGATCCTAATTAAATATAACTGCATGTTAGTCTCCAGGCATCTAAAAACAAAGGGGCTTTTTGTACTTTAAATTGCCACCTACTTTAAAATAAAAACTGCGGAGATTGTCCAACCAATTACTGCAGTATGTTGAGGATATTTTTGGAACCAAACAGGGACATGTTCTAGATTTGATTTTGACAAGTAGTAGGGATTATATGAGATTGCAAAGATGGAAGTTAACAATGAAATGGTAGGTTTTGATTTTCCTAGAACAGGAATGAGA